GAGAGAGAGAGAGAGAGAGAGAGAATTGTTGGATAATTTAAGAAAATCGGATAAATGAAATGGCTAATTTTGCAGCCTATTTTTAGGTTTAGATGCATTTGATCGAATGGATCATGTCCCTTGATCGCATCTGATTAGATCTGATCGTTGGATCATCAATCTATGGTGCTGATTAATTTGCTACTGAATAGTTGCCTCGAGTTGGCATACTTAATCATGATTGGGTGCCATCTGATTCATTCGATAGCGCTTATCCAATCAACGGTTAAGATTAAGTCGCTCCAGCTCAAACACACAACTATTTGATTGGTTGGTTGACTCATTATCAATGCACGCCACGTAACGGAATTGACTGTGTTCCACATCACCCATGCCAAGTGAGATCCACAACATCGCCCTAACCTTTTCATAGCAGATATGAAAGTGCCACATTGATGAGTTTGTATTATGTGCAAAGTGCGCCATAGTGCCACATTGATGAGTTTGTATTATGCGCAAAGTGCACCATTAAAGCGCCATATAGCCAACGATGTGAATGCATTTATAGTAGCATCTATTTTACAATTTTATATTCAAAAGTATAGTCCATTGAACTCTTTATTAAGAACTCCAACTTTTACCTTCTTTGTAATGTGGAACATATTCCCAAAATTTTTAGTTTTTTATTTACTTTACCACGCACACAAAATTTGCTCATTTGAAGGGTATAATAGTTATTAAAAACCAAAAAAGTGATTGTACTACCAAATACTTTAATTTTTTTAATTATTTTATTTAGCTAGTGCTTTTCCTTAAAATTTTTATTTTTAAACTAAAAGAGCCTGATTTTTTAGGTTGCTTTAAAAAAAGAAAAGTAAAGTATATACACTTTTTAAGGTTTTAAATTCTCATTTGGCAGTTATTTCAATATGGATTGATTAATTAGAGTTTATTTATTTATTTATTTATTTATTGAACTTCAAATTTAAAAAATTATTGTGTTTCGTATAGTACTATAAGTAATATAGTATTTCATGAATTGTACAATACTATAGATAATATAATATAGTAATGAGACACATCATCGTAATAAGTGACTTTGACTCCTTGACAAAATTTGTTCAGGGTTCGTTTGGGAACATGTTAATTTAGTAATTTTTTGGTTATTTGATTAAAATATGAGTTAAAAAAAATTAGTATGCTTGGAATAATTTTTTAACTTTTTACGAAAAGATGTGCAAAAAGTAGAGAGAAAATAGAATCTTTAATTTTTTGGTATGAGTTGTTGACTTTTTGATTTTTTAGTTAGTCACTTGACAAACTAGACCTCAGTGGGTCTAATGAACCATTCATGAGTAATTCATGAGTAATGTATAACATGTCGCATATGAAATAACTTTTCAATTTCCAACTTTCTTAAAATCGAGAATTTTGTGGTCATTTTCTTAGCAAACTGTCAATTTATTAAAAAAATTAAAAGAATAAAATACATAAATAAAGGGAACACACTTTTTGCATGCGGAAGTTGGCAAACTCTCTTTTTGGGGGTGGTTTGGTTAGAAAGTTGGTTTAAGTAAAAATGTGTCCCAGAAAAGTGGTTATGGGAAACAACAAACTTGACATTAAACATTCCCATAATCCTACATGGAATTCCATTTCACAGATCTAAAATATTGAAATTAAAATAATAATAATAATAATACTAGCAAAACCTAACAATTGGATAATTAAAAAATTCTCTCTAATTATACCCTTGATTCATTAACACATTCTCCTTGTGTCCTTGGATTTTCCTCACCAAGGGGAGTTGAATATAGTTTTTGAAGGGCAGTCGTGTAATTTTATTATTAGGACCCCCACATGTGTCTGTATATTCACAACTCACAAGATTCACTGTTTAAATAAAAAAGAGAAGACAATGAATGGCCATATGGAAGGAATTGGATTCTTCTGTCCCCCACCTCAACCTCTTTCGGCCAAAAATATGTACTTAAGAGTTTTGGTTGTGTTTTGTTTTGTGCTGTTTTTTTTTTTTTTTTTTTTTTTTTTTTTTTTTTTTTTTTATAACTTTTTCATACTTTTTATTTTTTTATTTTTTTATAAGTAAAGAAAATTAAAAAAAATCTCTTCAACAGGTGCCAAACAAAAAATAAAAAATAAAAAAATTGATTTTCTTTCCTTCACATGAAAGGTATTTGAATTCTATGATTTTTTTGGAAGAATAGTAATCGTGGGACTAAAAAAGTAGTGATTTGCAGTACATCTTGTGATAATTTTTTTAACAGTAATTCTATATGCACAAAAGAACCCCCCCCCAATACTTTTATTTATTTTTTTTATAAGTAAAGAAAATTAAAAAAAATCTCTTCAACAGGTGCCAAACAAAAAATAAAAAAGTAGTGATTTGCAGTACATCTTGTGATAATTTTTTTTACAGTAATTCTATATGCACAAAAGAACCCCCCCCCAAAAAAAAAAATCATAAAAATATGAATAGAAAGATTGATGTGCAATTCAATTTCATTATAAATTATTGGAGTCGTATTGATTTTCTATACGCATAACATTACTATATTTCAAAGCATTTATCATTAACCTTTTGAAAAATGTACATAACTATAGTTTCTATTTTTGGAAGGATTGTAAGGATTGGAAACAATTCAAAATAATTGCATTATGAAGGTTGTGGGCGTTGCTTTTTGACCACACAACCAAACGGAAAACTTAGCTGGAGATTACTGGCAGAATAGATTAAGTCCAATAACCTGTAATAAGAAGATGAGAATCCGGTGGTTCGTCCACCCGGGGACACTCCGACGATCAAGTCAGTAATCAATATCTCTCAAAGATAGCAAATTGTACTTATACTCACAAGAAAGAACTTACATCAGACTCACGAGGGTGCCTTCCTTTTATAACTAGCAGTGACTTGAATCTATTAGTAGTCTCAGACTCAGGCTCAATGCTCATCTTGGACTTTCATCTAGATAAAGATAAACTCTTTTTGAGCCTTATCTTCATCTAGACTGAGATACTCTTCCGTTCTAGGACTCATGTCCCTTATTTGCTTATCTCGGATTCCGGTATCTCCGCAGATAACCTCGGCCTAGCCGAGATCATCTCGGCAACGTGACCAGGCTATGTAGCATTTCGGCTGATACTTCAGCATCACCTTAGTCACGTGCTGTTGTTCATATATTGTGTCCCCACAAAGGTATAAAGTAGGTGCATGTGAAATTTGCAACATACTCATTCCCATCTCCATAAAATGTAATTATTTGGAACTGTTTTCTGTAATTTGCAATTCATCCCTTGTTTAGGATAATAATTTCAACTTGTTGAAGAGCATTCATGTTACCAAATACGAATTATATCACCACGCATTGCAAGTTCTTTGCTTTGCTTTGTGCCCCCCTTTTTATGGTAAAAGGCAATGATTTTACATAGTGGGATCCAAAATACTGATACTACCATAATACTCAAAATAATTCAAAATGATCTTCTTCTTCTTCTTATTTTTTATTTTTCATTTTCTATATCTGTTGTTGTAATCTTTCAAACAAGATTAGATCTATTTCCTAGTAGTTGGTATAGACCTGAAATAGGCAAAGAATATAAAATAAAATAAAATAAAATAAATTGTGTATGAAATGTATTGTTTTATCAATTGTTTCCGTCAATTAAACAACCCTTTTGTACATACGAAAATTAAAAAGCACATGCTCTAACGATTGATACAAGAATAAGAACAAATGGCCTGAAAAATAAACCACGGTTGAGGAAATCGATTTAGATGGTGCCAATTGTTCGCTTGAAGTGATGAGATGGCTGAAAGATAAAGGTTTATTGAATGAAGAAGATTATTTGTAGTGATTAAATTTATTGTTTGTCAGAAAAAAAAGATTGTGTTGTCTATTTGTCTTTAGATTAAATGTATTATTTTATATGTGAATGATTGGATGTATGAATGTTTTTGTACAAGAAAGATACTAGCAAATTAAACATAAATTATTTTTAAAGTAATAATTAGTTACTTGTAATTATTATTATTTTTTTTAAATGAAGATTTTTTTTACGTAGGCACATTTTTTTTTTTTTTTTTTGATTCAGGAAAAAATTTAGGAGGAGGGGAGGCTACCCCTTTAGGGTCGGGGAAAGCGTTACGCAATATTACCCACCAACAAAAGATCGTCGTCAGTAAGACTTGAACCTAAGCTAAATGGACGAAGGGAACGAACCTTACCAACTAAGCCAACCCCTGCTGGTTATGTAGGGACATTATCCATTGCAAAAGGGTTATTATTTGCATCGACAATTGGTTTTTTTATTTTATTTTTAATTTTTTTGATTTTTAACTTTTGATTTTTAAATTTTTTTTTTGTGGGGCCGTTGTGATCCACGACGATGCAAATAGTTAGCATGAAGACACAAATATTTTTTGACATCCCTACAATCGCATCCCTCCACTTGCTGATGCATGGCGGTCACAAAAGGTCTTTTGCATAAACCTAAGGTCTTTTCATAAACGTTTTGCTTATTTGCTTTGGCACAGGCAGGGTGGCATGACAGGGTGCCAATGAAAAAAAGCCATTTTTCTAGTAGCGACATCATCTACCAATCCAACTATTATTCTTTGCTTACAATGCAATCTTTTACGATATAATAAAGAGCAATGCTAGGAAATCTTTCATGAAAATAATCATGTGAGTTTTGTGACCCTCAAATTACACTTAAAATAAAACGCTACACATTAATCAAGGTAATCCAAAAATTATAATTTTTTCATAATCATCTTCATAAAAGAATTTTCATAATCCTTAACTTTTCTCCATAATAAATCCATAAAATTCCAAACAATAAAGCAGCATGTCCTTGTAAAGGGTATGAATCACTGCATTTTCTGAGAATTACTTTTCCTTGGCATGGTTAGTTTTGGAAACCATGGGCTTTTTTGTAAATTACAACTTTTCATGCTTACCTAGAGCAAAAACCACTAGCCCCCCACCCCCCCTTCATCTGTCTCTACTTCACATGCTCTCAATTCCATTAATCCATTGAGAACAAAGACAAAACTTAATTGGATTTGAGTCTTGAGATACCTCCAACTTCTCTCTCTCTCTCTCCATTATTTTTCTGGTTCTCCACAATCCTTCACTGGATATGATATCATCTTCTTCCCTCCAAATCAAATCCAACCATTGGATACCAACTTGTTCATCTTCTTTGTTGTTTTCTATCTATCAATAATTTGTCCAATAAATTTGCAAATATATATATTATATTGGGTTATATATCTCTTTATATTGTTCTTCTTTGGGGGGTGTATTATATGTTAAACTCTGTTATTTGCTCTGTTCATGGATGCTACAACAGCTCAAATCCTTCAAAACAATTACAGCAGCAATGAGAGCAACAACAATGAAGTTAGCAGGAAAGAAATTCAAGCAGCTTTTTCCAAAGCAGTGGAGCTCAGAGCCCTCCATTCTGCTCTGATGCAAGGCAACAGCCCTGCCAATCTCAGATTCCCCTCTCCTTCCCCTGTTCCCCACCATGTTTCTCACTTATCTGCCCATGATTACCCTGTTTTTACCCCTGTGAGTTCTGCTTTTTTTGGCTTCTTTGGTTATACTTTTGTTTTCAATTTTTTGTTTTTTGTTTTTCGTTTTCAGAAACTAAATCAATGAAAAGTTTGAAAACACCTATTGGTTTTATATTATTATTTTTTAAAATTTTTTGTTTAAAAAAAGAGAATAGTCCACAAACAGTTTAATTAAATTTGTTTGACAGGATTGTTTTTGACAATTTTTTCCCTTTATAAATTACTTCTCTTCAAATTATTTCTCTTTTATAAATTATATTTTTTTTTGTTTTTTGTTTTTTTGTTTTTTCCCTTTCTCTTGAGTCTCTTCAATGCTGTTTGTGTTTCTTTCTTTGATATTTTTTCTGGGTTATTGATTTGAATTGTATTAAATTAGACCCCTAACTTTACCCATTTGTTACAATGATTATTATTGTGAATGTTGTCCCATTTCTTGTGGTGATTATGGCCTCTGTCTCCTTAGTTCTGCTTTTTATAAAATGTTTTAGACTTTCCAGGATTTCATTAATGATTCTGCCCAACACTTTTGCTAGTTATTGTACTTCAGGAACTTTTTAGGGCCAAAACTCTCACTCATAATTAAATTTAACTTGTGAAATTTATTATATTATGTGTTCTTCATTTTTTGTCTATGTATTGATTACTTTATTGTATTATGAATTCTTCATTTCTGTCTATGTATTGATTTAGATATCTGTGCTTGATTAAAAGTGAAAAAGAGTTGAGGGAATTTCAATTCAGTGCAAATTTTGAAAATTTATTACATATAAGTGATAAACTTTATAAATATTTATAATTAAAGTCATTAACATTTTCATGAATTTGTAATAGGTTTTTGAAATTGTCACTGAAAGGTAGTTCTCTCAAAAGAGTTCCTCTGTTACTCAAGTTTTTGTCGTCAAATATTACAGGTAGAGTCAGGTTCTAAGGTTTAGCAGAAATTGTATGTACTCAAAAACTGATAAAAAATTAAATATATGGTATAAATTTAAACTTGATACAGTGTGGGCTATACTCAATGAATATAATCCACAAGTTTCAAATTCTGACACTTTTCTAGATATGTTGCATTCCTGAAGGTTTAAAGCCATTGAAAATATTAATCAGCCTAAACAAATCAAGGTTTGTGTATTGGGGTTGGTTACAACAATTATTTTTCGCTATTTTGCTTTGTTAAAGGCGTATACAATCACAATTGAAAATTCTAAACTCGGAATTTAATTTTCATCAATTTTGATTATTAATGTTGAAGATATAAATATTTAAGTTGTATTTCTCTCTAATAGTTTACGATTTGAATGAGTTGGTGGTTTACAATTATAGTCCTAATTCTTTGTATCATTTGGCACAATTTTCATTTACTGTTGTGTTGTAATCTTGCATCGATTTCTCCTTTCATTTTCTTTGTGGATTTCCTTTTAAGCAATGGATACTTTTGAAGGTTAAGCCTACAGTATAGTCTTAATTAAGCCTAAAAAGTTAATATCTTTAGTTGTTATGAGACTTCCAAAATTCACTGACACTACAGAAATTATTTTGACAGAGTTATGACGATGAACCACTACCGGGGTATCAACAAATTCAACTAGACAGTCGAACTCTATCAGAATGTTGGGATGAATATGGGCTTGGAGAAGGAAATGGCGATGAAACCGTCTTATCAGATTATACAAAGGCAAATGCATCTTCAAGGAAGGGATTGTCATCTGAATTGGCCAATCTAGAACCTCCACATTTGTCCCCGGCTGAAGAGCAAAAGCTCCACAGTGGTCAATTGCCCAACCAACATTACAGTGCTTGGAACATCCCCTGGCACAGAATTTTACAAATCAAGCAGGAGAAACAGTTTGGGTGATTTCAGATCTATCTCTTCTTGCAATAAATGCAAACCTGCAACCATAAGCAGAGAAACCGATAATGCTATCAAGAACAGCAAGAATTCCAATACTGTTGTGCCATTGACAGACTCACATTCTTCTCTTCAGTCTCAACCCAAAAACCGTGGATTGAACATTTCGTGGTTTTTTCCAAGGTTAAAGAAGAAGCACAGGAATGGAAATTCGCCAAATAGGATAGAAACGGAGGAAGTTTCCCAAGTTTTTAAGGACTTGGGGATAATGCCGATTGAGAGATTGAAGAAAGAGCTTATGGAAGCGAATGAGAGTAGAGATGCAGCCCTAATGGAGGTCGCGGAGATGAAATCTTCTTTGGGGGATCTAAAACAGAAGTTGGAGTACTTGGAGACTTACTGTGAAGAACTGAAAAAGGCCTTGAGGCAAGCAATAGAAACAAATGATTACCAAGTTCCCGAAAAGCTTGTGGGTAGAGGCAAATCCATTGATGGGAATGGAGAAAATTTTGTGGCCATTAACAGTGAGGAAGCAATGGTGGAAGGTTTCTTGCAAATAGTATCGGAAGCTAGGTTATCGGTAAGGCATTTTTGCAAGAACCTTGTTAGCCAGATTGAAGAAACTGATAATACTTTGATGGAGAACTTAAACTTGCTTCTTCAACCATACAAGCTGTCTCTGAATTCAAAGTACTCAAAGGCTGTGTTGTACCATTTGGAGGCTATCATAAACCAATCACTCTACCAAGACTTTGAGAACTGTGTCTTTCAAAAGAATGGCTCACCAAAGCTCTTAGACCCTCATCAAGATCGCCAAGCAAGGTTCTCATCGTTTGTTGCACTAAGAAATCTGAGTTGGAATGAAGTGTTGAGAAAAGGAACCAAGTATTACAGTGAAGAGTTCAGCAAGTACTGTGATCAGAAGATGAGCTGCATTATCACCACTCTGAATTGGACAAGGCCATGGCCTGAACAACTACTTCAATCATTTTTTGTAGCTGCAAAATGCATATGGTTGCTTCATTTGCTTGCATTTTCATTCAACCCACCATTGGGAATTCTAAGGGTTGAAGAGAACAGAAGCTTTGATCCCCATTTCATGGAGGACATTTTCATGGATAGGCAAAGATCGTATGGTCCAAGCCGGGTTAAAATTATGGTGATGCCAGGGTTTTATGTGCAGGAAAGAGTACTTAGGTGTAAGGTTGTTTGCAGGTATAAATCTGTAGCCTAAGTTTATTTATTTATTTTCTTTGGGTGAATCTGGCTTGTAACTTTTCCAAGTTGTGTTGATAATTGTTTCAAATGGGATTCTACAACTACTCAAATGGATTGGGTATGGTACTTAGTTGAAGATTGGAAGGGCGAGTCGATAAATTGGAAGCTTTCTTACCATGCTTTATATATTTGTGCCACAAAAACATTTCTGCACTTTGTTTAATTAAGCAATTATGTAGCAAAGACATGGTATGATGAACTGCCTTGTGACAAGGATAGAATTGTACACGAAAGTTAGTTTTATATGTGGATCAGGATTTATGCTATGCATTTAAATAAACTTCCAAAGATCTTCTGATGGAGCATTTGTGTTCCAAATTACCATATAAAGTCACAAATGTATAGACTAGACACTTGACCTAAAAGGTGGTCAAGTTTTTAAAATCTCATTTGAATTCCTCCTCTCCACTATATCAAACCTGCTTATACCCTAGTGGCAACTACATGCCATCCCAGCAGCACCAAACAGCTCAAAAGGTCTATGAGCCCATGGACTTGGAGCTGACAAATTATATGGGCCTGTGATGAACCCAACCCAAGTTTATCAATTACAAATGCTGGACTCGATAAGCCTAATTAAGATTGCGCCAGCAGGCCAGGTTTTGTGGAGCTCCTAATCAATTCTCACACACTTGACACATTTTCCAAACCAAAAATCATCTTAGTGTATGTTTGGTTCGAAAGAATCACTACAAGAAAATACATTTTTGGCGATCATTTTTAGCGACTAAAAAAAATTTAGTCACCAAAAGTTATAGAATTGGCTACCAAAAATAAAATTAGTCTGCAAAAATCAAATATTTAACTACTAATTTTTTTAATCGGGGAATATTAATTATTGGTGACTAAAAAAAATTTAGTAGCTAAAAATATTACAATTGGCGACTAAAAAAAATTTTAGTAGCTAAAAATATCACAATTGGCGACAAAAAGAAATTTTAGTAGCCGTAGAGCTAGTTTTAGCTACTAAAATTGTTTAGTAGAAAAAAATTATTTTTATCTTTGGCAACCAAAAATTTGGTCACCAAAAGTATATTTTCAGCGACAAAAGAATATTTTTGTCGCGGTAAAGTTAGTTTTAGCTACTAAAATTGTTTTGTAGCCGAATGAAAAGAAAAAAAAAATAGTTTCTATCTTTGTTTGGTCGTCAAAAGTATATTTATAGCGACAAAATAATATTTTAGTCGCCAAAAACCTAAAATATGTGGAGGGGGATTTCAAATTTCAGATGGATTAAAAAAATAATTAGCGACTAAAATTTTTAATCATGAATTATTATTAATTATATATGTATTTTGTTTTCAACCCAAACCGTGGGTAAATCAATTCCCCCATCTCCTCTCTCTCTAGCGAGAAGAGAGACCTATCTGCCTCTCCGCTGCTCTTCTCCCCTCCCTCTCTCACCGCCGCTCCACCAGCCGGGCCTCCGCCACTCCTCACGGTCGCCGACAGCTGGAGCACCGATTGTAAGCTCTCTCTCTCTCTCTGTGCAGTTCGCATTTTGACACAATATCTAGGTTGGTGATTAGGTCTTCTTCTACACCAATCTTCTGGGTATCGATATAACCATCAATGTTTTTCTTCATTGAAATCGTTTCTTCATTGAAATCTTCTTCTACCATTCTCTGTTTCTTCCTCTTCTAGTCTTCTTTGTGTGTATACATATATCCATATATATAAATCAAAACCCATTAAAATCTAATGGCTCGTTGCCCCCCCATGAATTGTTGGTTTGGGAAGTTGTTATGGCTTTTCAATTTGTTTGTTTGTTTTTTTTTTCTTGCCTTCAAACTGTTTGATAAAATGTCTCTTAGGCTTTTCAAAAATTTAATCTACTTTGTTGTATCATCTCGACCCTAGAATCAAATGGGTGATTTCAATTATTGTGGGTTTTGATTGTTTTATAGTGAATTTTGATGATGCAATATGAATAAATAAATAAAAAAAAGAGAAAAGCATGACAAAGCTTCAAAAAAAGGTTCACGCTAAATGGTTTGTATAGTTTATATAATAGAATAGATAGAGTAAGAATTGGCTCCAGAATGGGAGTGGAGGAATGCACCAACGTGATCAGACTTCATCCATGCTGAATATGCTGTTTCGTTTATAATATAGAATAGATGTATGTATGAATGAATAAATATATTTCAATTGTGTAATATTTTTCAAAGCCATAGATTCAGTTTATCTCTTTTTTTATTCTTTGAGATGCTCAAAATTTAATTAATGGGGTTTCCATTTTTTCAGGCATAATTAAAGATTTGTATCAGCTTGTGATTCTTTCTTAGCATTGCATTGCTTTTCAAGTATATATATATCATTCTGCTTGCTAGCTGCTAATATATATATCTAATCTACATGGATCTACTTGGTAGCTGCTTTTCTTAGCATTGCATTACCAAGTCTGCTAGCAAGTGTCATGACTATTGCTACTGATACAAGTGGATCTCCAACTAGGCTTCAGGTTTGTTGATCAAATGTCTCTGGTTTTTTGGTTTTTAGAGCAAAGAGTTTCATTTATTATAATTGTAACACCAATATTTTGGTTTAGTTTTCACAAACTGTTTTTCGCTTTCTTGTTTTCAGTATTTTTTCGTTTTTATTGAAGTTTTTTGTTTTTTTGTTATTAGTGAACTTTTTTCATATTTTGATGATTTTTTTTTTTAGAACAATATTTTGGTTCAGTTTTCATAAACTGTTTTTTGCTTTCTTGTTTTCAATGTTTTTATTGTTTTTGGTCATTAGTGATTTTTTTTTTTTTTAATGATTCGTTTTGACTTTTTAGATGAATCTAATCTACATGGATCTAAAATATATACATGAAGAAATCCATAAAAAAAAAAAAATAGAAAAAAGTTCACTAAAGATTTTTTTTCTCTTTAATGAAATTTATTTTATTTTTTGATTTCTTCACATATACTTTAATTATTAGTTTAGTTATAAAAAATCACAAAAAAAAAAATTTAGTGCAGTAGTACTTGTTTATTGATTAGGGTAATGACTAAACTAAACAACGTGATTTATTTATGTTGCTTGTTGTTTATGATATATTTAGGGTAGATATGGTGGAATGGTAGTATGTTGGATTCTTGGGCTTGGATGCCTTGTCTCGTGGAACAACATGTTGACTATCAGAGATTACTATTATGATCAGTTCCCTGTAAGTATATAGCCCACTGTTAATTTCTATTTTTTCTTTTTTTTCATGACTAACCAGTGTTTGGATTATGGATTTGAGTGAAATTTAAAACAAGAGAGAGAGAGAGAGAGAGAGAGAAATGTGGATTACATATAAATATGTAAGAGGACCTAATTTGAGCCCATTAAATTAATTAGGCCCAATAGTCCAAGATTGGTGGGCCCGAATTTATCACCATCAAACGGGCTAAATGGCTCTAAGCCTCGAAAGGGTTCGGATCCACGAACCTAGAGACTTACTCGGGCCCGGACTCGAAAGGGTATTAAGCAAGCCTAGAGATCCGAGGCACTCGGACTCGAAAGGGTTCGGATATAGTCATGAATAGCTATGGGCCATTAATAGTCATGAAGTTAAAAGATTACTGTGAAAAAGAATTGGTTCTCAGTTAAACCCACTTTCAATTTGATTCTCATCGACTCTTGTTAGGTGGACAAATTAAGTATTTGGATTTTAAATTGATTTGTCTAATGTCGAATGACTGATAATATATATGCATTTACAAATTATATATATGTATTTACTGTTGATGAATGGTGAGAAAATAGGTTAGAGTTGGCAGCATGAAGGAAGAAGAGAGAAAATAAGTGTTTGTATATATATATATATATATATATATATTTGTAGGTTTAATTCAAAAGAGTAGAAGAGGAAGAAGAAAAAGGCATAAAGGTCAATTTACATATTCTGATAATAGAAGCTAGCGTGCTTTTGAGTTCACAAACTACATGAGGGTTATGTGCTTATTTCCAAATAATATGGGGGCAATCCACACATGAGCCAAACTATAAAGGAATAAAGTGAAGTTTGCCCAACATAATTTTAATCTTCATATAGGGAGGTTGGGTTGGTTTGACAAATTTTAACACACAAGTCAATCAACTGCTCGATTTTTATCATCTAACTCACCAAAACCCAACCCTCTCTTAAATTTCATCATCTGGTTTCCTTGATAGTTAGGTTCAGCAACATTAGGGAAAGGAGACATTGGAAATTATACTGGTATATGCATCATTGTAGCTACTATGGGAGTTGCAGATGGCCATGTTCAAGGAGGGATGGTTGGAGACCTATCCTTCATGTGCCCTACGTTCATCCAAGTAAGCCTTTCAAAGTGTATTATTTCTTTCAAGTTAATTATATTTAGGAAGACTTATGTGTAGATCTTAATAGGTAGACTTATTATCCAACATGTCATATGATAAGTAAGCCTTTCAAAGTGTATTATTTCTTTCAAGTTTATCATTATGTTTTTAACACTACATTGTGAACAAGTATAAGTGATGAAACTTATTCAACCAATCTAGTGGTGACAATTCACATGGTACTTCAAATGCGGTGTAAAAGTATGATTATTGTAACATTATTAGCAGGCAAATTACACACATGGTTTACATATTTCAAATTCTATGTTAATCCCTCAATCTCTTTGAGAGTGAATAGATCATTTTTTTTATTCTTAATTTGTGTTAATTTATTAATGGGCATTACTAATTGTATGAAATTGACATAATGTGAAAAAATAAAAGATAAAATTGATGTAATTGAAACTATAGAATCAAATTGGAGTGAACAATCTATAAGGACCACATGTTTAATTTTCCCAACAAGAAAAAATAAGAAGAAGAATAAAACAGAGAACAGACAAAAGAGGAAGAGTCATTTTTTAATTTAGAGTTCTTATGTGATTGTAATAAATCAAAAGTTAATACATTACTTGACATGTCATTGTGAGACTTAAATTGTAAGTCTTAATTTTTTTCAATTAGGAAGGGCCTTTAAATATTAATTTTTAAAGGATCTTATATAAACTAAGGTGGGCACAATTATAATTTTTAAGGGTTAAAACAAAAATATTATGCAAATATATAGGTACTAGTGTAATTATAAAAATCTGAGGAGGGGCACGTGCCTTTTTGGAGTTAATTATGTTTTTCATTTTTGTAATTTGACTCAAATTTTATTTTGATCCTTATAGTTTTAAATTAAACAGTTTAATCCTTACACTTCAAAATTAGTTTTAGTTTAGTCACCCACCTCAAAAGTATAAACTTGGGATTTATAGAGCAACTAGATTCATATGTTGTATGTACTCAGATTGAACATCAAAAATTTTATTTCATATATATTCGAGTATGCAAAACTAATGATTGATTTGAAAAGATTACTTAATTTTGAGTTTTATATGTTTTTTTTTATAATTTTAAATTGGCCAATATTTAGTCAATATTAATGATTAATTTTATTTATTTATTTATTATTATTATTTTTTTTGCAGATGGTTTTTGACGTACAAATGTGGATATGACTTATTTTGACAACTACGGAAGGGCATTGTTTTTATATCTCCGTCTGTATATATAGTGGTTCATACAAATTAATTTTTTTGCGTGGTAAATATCTAAAATTTGGCTTGATAGAAATTAGCATTGGACGTGGTACAAATTAGTTTTTGGGGCGGTACAGAATAAATTTTTGGTGTGGTATAGATTTCCTTTTGGATATTAAATTTGGTTAATCCTCTATTATGTATGGAATTAAATTATTGTGGGTTGGATTATACTTGGTATTGATGGAATTTGTATTACATTTAGAATTGGACGTTGAATATAAATTTTTTGGATGGTTGGAAGTGAAATGTGTGCACGTTGTTGAATGGTTGATAAAATATTAAGTATTGATGGATTATATTGTTTATACAAGGTACAAGTTGTAGTAATAATGGATACAGGTGGTTCAGAAATTAAAAAAAAAAAAATTAATATAGTATTTGGTGACTAAATATGTTGGTAGCCAAAAATGTAAGCAAATGTTTTGGTGACCAAAAATTTAGTAGTAAAAAATAACCAAATGGCTTTTTGCGACCAAAGACATAGTAGCTAAGACAAATTAGAATGAGGGAAGTTTGATTGCCGACTAAATATTTTAGTCACTAAAAACATAACATCTTTTGGCGACTAAAGTGTTTGGTCGCTAAATGTACGTATTCTATTAGCGACTAAAATTTTAGTCTCTAATAGTTTAATTTAGTTTTATGTGAGAACTTTCGGCGACTAAAATATTAGTCGCCAAAAGATACGTTTGCTGACTAACCAAAGTTTAGTAGCCAAAAGTTCAATTTCGGCGACCAATAATTTAATCACCAAAAGATCACCTTTCCCGACTAACCAAAGTTTAGTAGCCAAATGTTTAACTTTCGGCGACCAAAAATGGTTTAGTCGCCAATACTATCGCCGACAGGGTATAGGTGACGATCTTGGGGACAGAAATATTTGGTCGGTAAATTGTTTCAGCGACCAAATTTCGCACTTTTGGCGACTAATATTTTAGTAGCCAAAAGTGACATTTCTTGTAGTGAATGCAGTGAAGTGTGAGAGGAATGAGAGTAAGAATGATGTATAACATTATTATTTGGTTGTCAACAAATATGAAATTTACATAAAATGACATTTCTCATACTCACGTCTGGTTATATATATTAAGCTCTTTTTTTTTTTTGATCATTAAAATGGAACTTTATTGATGAAATCAAGCATACAAAGTATATGAATTACATCAACAAAGGGAGAGGAAAGTGCATAGAGTATCAGAGTATGACTTCAAGATTCCAACGAGGTTGGCACCAAGAATCATACACAATCATTTGCTAGCACAAGTCTCAAAGTTGATTATACGTATTAAACTAATGGAATGGAATAAGTTATTATTTATTATTTATTTATTTATTCAACAAGCTAGTAACAACCAATTTAAAAATTCATATAAATCATGATAGTTTTGGTACTTGTAGAAGTGACGGTGTGAGTGTTGTGGTGGCAGTGGCATTAGTGGTGGTGATAGGTTGTGATAGTAGGATGGTGGTGGTATGGTGGTTGTAGAGGTGGTGGTAGTGGTTATGGTGGTGGTGATATGGTGACAGTGGTTGTACTTGTGGCGGCGTTGGTGGTGGTGGTAGCAATAATAGAGTGGTGGTTACGGCGATGCGGTAGTGGTAATAATGGTGGTAACAGTAGTGGTAGGGATGGTTAAAGGTGATTGATAGTGGAAGAGAATGGTGACAGTAGCTAATTGATAATGCTTTAAGGTGATTCCATACGATGAAATGAAATAGCTATTCCTTTGGTTGGAGAAAGATTATCACATTTTGTTGAAATAACAATTCTATTTGAAATTATTGTTCCTACCTAGACAAGGCATACCAAAATAAGGAAAAGATAATTCATAGCTAGAATGCATTTTATACAAGGTCGGTCCTCAAGTTTTTGAGGTCCAAAGTGAACTCTTGAAATGGGGCCCACTATACATTTTCACAATTATACGTATGCTTACTACTCAAGATTGATTTTCTTTTTCTAAATTCACCCGTTTGGTTTTCAATTTTTAAAAATAGATTTTAGGTTTTTGATTCTTTTATTTTAGTCAATTTTATTTTTTATTTTTTAGATTACCTACTCTAAATGCACTCCAAGAGTGTGAAGAAATCTAAAAATTATTTAATAAATATAAAAAATATTAAAATATATTGATTTTTTCGTATTTTTTTGTATTTAAAAAAATAAATTTTTTTTAAATATATCTAAAAAATAAAAAAATTTGATCAAAAAATTTCAGTAAAATTTTAAAAAATATTTATTGAAAACTCAAAAACTACTTTTGAAAACTCCAAAACTAAACAGAGTGACCCGAAACATCACAACAACCATAAATAATCTACTAATGCAACTCCAAATTTACTGTAATTTGAATAAATTAAACCAAAAACAAGCTAAACATGAAATTAAACTAAATAGATCATATAAACCCTAGAGCAAGAGTGAGAAATGGGGAAATCGAGGAATGGGGAGAGAGAGAGAGAACTTGTTTGTATCGCGGCGGTGGCGGTGGCGGTGTACGACTTACGGTGAGCAAAAGTGGTGAGTGACTGCAGTAAGGTGAGGTTTAGTGGTGACTGGTTCTGTGTGTGTATATGTGTGTGTGTGTGAGAGAGGGAGGGAGAGAGAGAAGAACCTTGTTTCAAAATTACTGAGAAGAAACTAACCGCCAATCTTTTAACGTTTCCCTCTAAAATTTTATATGCCTTTGGCGACTAAACTTCTTGTTTGTCGCCAAAGGTTAATTTATAATGACAAATTTATTTAGCCAAACATTTAACTAATAGCGACTAATGGTTTAGTCGCCAAAAGTAACCATTTTGGTGACTAAAACATATTTTGGTCATCGAAAAGCAATATTTACTGACCAAATTTTTCGTCACCAAAGATAAAAGTAAAATTTATACTTTTTATTTAGTGACTAAATTATTTTAGTAGGCAAAAATTACCTTACAGTGACTAAAAATTTTTTAGTCACCAAAAATGAATATTTGCCGGCAAAAACTTTGGTCGCCAAGTTTAATAGCAAACATTATGGTAGCTTTTTGGCAACTAAATTTATTTTATTAGCCAAAAACTGGTATACCATGACTATCAAAAATTTTGGTAGTCTAAAACATGATCTAATGCCGACTAAAACAATTATTAGTCACCTATTGTGGCATGTTTAGCGACTAATTTTTTTTTGTCGCCAATAATTAAGATACAGCTACTAAAAAAAAAATAGTAGCTAAAAACCATATTCAACAGCGACCAATATAATTTTTAGTCACCTATACAACTTTTGGCGACTAAAAAAAAGTTTAGTTGCCAAATTTGGTCGCCAAAAGTGTAAATTATTGTAGTGTACATGTAAGAATTTAACAATAGAATGAGATGGAGACCTTCTTCTGCCAAATCCAAAGCTGCATCAAGAGCACGTGAAAAGGAGATGGAGACCCTGATATGTTTTGTTATTAAGATTTTTTTTTAATTTGGATTTTAATTGTTGGTTTGGATAGTATATGTATTTGTTGGATTATACTATGTTTATGGATTCTTATTGTCCTTGATATGTATGGTTAATAGTTAAGTTTTGTATATGGTTGAAAATTGAATGCTACAGGTTGTGGAGAAATATTTTTATTGAATGGTTGAGAATTGAATGAATGAATTGATGAATAATTTTGTATATGCATAGGTTATAGGTGGTGCAAAAAATATTACAGAACAAATTATAAAAACTAAATGAGACCTTTTGGCGACTAAACAAATATCACAGGTTCGCTTTTGACTACTAAAATTTTAGTCGCCAATTATCAAAAAGTGAAACTTTTGGCTACTAAACTTTTAGTCGCCAATTGTAAAAATGAAACTTTTGGTTACTAAATTTTTAGTAGCCAATTCTCAAAAAGTGAAATTTTTTGCTACCAAATAATTAGTCACCAAACATACATGCTCAATTGGCTACTACATAATTTAGTCGCTAAAAGTAAAAATATATATATTTAATTATTTTTAAAAAATATATGGAGACTAAAGTTTTAGTTGCCGATATGTCACTTTTGGTGACCAAACTGGCGACCAAATATGTGACGCCCCAAAATTTGAGGATATCACAATAAGGTTTAAAACTTAAAATTAATTTTCTTAATTAAGAATCCTCATCAATGTTGCCACCAAATTTACCATCATCCATTTTGATTTACAACACAGAAACTAAAAGTTCTTAAATTACAACTCCAATCAAACTTAAAATTTTGTCTTAGTACATGAAAGAAAACACACAAATAAAAAGAGAAAATTAGAGAAAAACTAGAAAACTTAAAAAAAGGGTTCATAGAACTTTGGCACGTTTTAAGCTAACCAGGGCTAAATGTTTCCTTCCAACACCTCAGTGTTTCCTTTGATTTCTTCGGTACCCAACATGAAACACCAGGGCAACGGGAATGCCAATGAGTGACGAGTTCAATAAGATACTACAATCCAAAAATATCCACCCCGATAATAATACTCACAATTAATAAATACTGTGTAATAACAGAATAATAAGCAGCATTTAATAAGCATAACATGAATGCTATCAGTTGAAGTAATAACAATAGATAAGAAGAACAATGGCAAGCGTAAGCAGTATCTCATCATAAGGAAAAATGCCAACTTTTCTTTTAAATCTACATAGATTTAATTTGTCAAATAAGTTTAAGTAACTCCCCGCGGAGCACTATTTCCACTCAACCGCTAAACAATAGCCACGGGCAATTTTGACCCCCTCTTGGTCAAATATTCAAATGATACTTGCTGTAACTACCAATGATGTCCATGCACCAGGATTACGTACTCGAGTCGTGACATCACGTTTTGGCCCAAGGGAACGGTCTATGTTGTGACACCAGCACCACCAACCTTATATCGCCTATACTGATAAGAGCTGAAATACCTTCCCATGCCATGTTAGGGTTCGCAACTCACTTGCGCAAGACTCTAAACCGGGCTCACCCCACCGCTTTTAAACTTTAATGCATCTGTTTAATTTCGTGTTTCTTTACTTCGTCGAATTCACATTTTGATGCATGTGTGAGTTTTAGTTTGAAACCACAGTGAAATAATGTTTATATAGCACAACACAATCATGTATGGCAACCAAAATAAATATGATAGAATGTCTTAGGAATCATCACAAAATTTCTTAGGAATTCACACACTTCTTCTTTCAGCACTGTATGGTAAAAAAAAAATATGAAACCCATACCAAACGAAGTTCAACCATTGCAATATTTTAACTGGT